CCATTGCATTTCCTCAGGCCACTGACCAGGGATGTGAACAGTCAGCTAGAGTGCCTCAGAAAGTAAATTCATGCGGATATAGTTAGGTTTTAATGTCTTGCCATTTGTTTTCCCTTTTGACCCATTTTTAATTTGTTCTAGTTTTTATTTTTTATCTTATTTATCTCATTCCAGAGAATGAGATTTTTGGTGCTGTATTTTGTTATTGTTGTGGTGGTTTATTTTTAACAAGGTATCCACGTTAGGAAAATCTATGGAGACAGTAACTAGATGAACAATTTCCTAGGATTATGGCAGGAGACCTTGAAGGGAAATGGGAGATAACAATAATGAGTACAAAAATGAAGAAAATGATCTAAAATAGATTGTGGTCATAATTGCACAAATGTTTTTAACACATTAATACCACTGAATTATAAAAATTAAAAAATTATTATTTTTCCCATCTCAAAAACCAAAATCACCGCCATCAATCAATTCTGACTAATAGCAACGCTATAAGGCAGAGTAGCACTGCTCCTGTGGGTTTCTGAGATGGTAACTCTTCATGGGTGCAGAAAGCCTTGTGTTTTTCACGTAGAGCAGCTGGTGGTTTTGAACTGCTGGTCTTGAGGCTAGCAGTCCAATGTGTAAGCCCTATGCGGTAACCCAAGCTTGAACTTCTTGAGGCCTTTCAGCTTGAGATACACTGAGTGGATTCTTTCCTTTTTTTTTTTTCAGGGTTGTTATGAAGGCCAGAAATGATGTTCTAAACCTTGCTTCATAGTTGGCTCAATGCATGTGTATTGATTGTTAAGATAAACGATGAGAATAGAGGCTTACCCTATGGCTTCAGAGAAAATAAAAGTAGAACTCAGTGACGTGGTGACTATAGGGAATGAAGGGAAGGGAGGAGTCAAGAGCTACTCAGACTTACAGGTGGTGACTGGGTCATCTGGTCTAGTTCTCTACTTCCGTCTACTTTGAACTCTACTGTTTTCATACAGTACTGATTTTCTTTCTGTGGACTGGCTTATCTTTTTAAGCTTGTTCTCTCATGAAGGCCAATATATTCCCAAGAATATCCCCAACCCAAATGCTAATTATATAACAAGGGAAAGTACTATATCAAAGAGGACATATCTTTTTTAATTAGTGGTTAATTCCAAGTGCAATTATTCCTTTACATAAGAATGAATCAGAAAAGTACTCTCTGTCTTCTCAATTAATGATGGGCTGGAAGAAAAGACAGGGTGAGTAACTAAAGCAATAAAACAAGGAGTCACTGGAGACTAGGCTCAATGGAGAACAGGCCCAAAATGCCTCAATGGAAAAAGGACAATATTTCAAAGGAGGATGCATTCCCCTCCCCCTTCAGGCTTTCTACAGCAGGCTAGAATAGAAAGGCTTAAATATTTTGGAAGATTGTTTTCCCAATAAATAAGTGGTGCTGACTCCTATAATAACTTACTTTATGAATTTCTATAACAACATTCAGAGGTGTGGAAATTCATTTTATGCATTATATTTTATTATAGTAGTATTGGCTATAATACCACAGCATTCATAGACAGGAAATGACCAAAAATCAACCAGCTTCACTGTATGCATCCAATGTAAGCAAAGAAAACATTACTTTCTCATTTCTGGCCAGGGGAAAGAAACCTACACTATGTCGTTTTACTTTAGATCTGTGCTGAGTAATGAATTATACCAAAGTTTTGTTGTATTTATTCTTTTTATGTGCCTAGACTTCTTCCTGGACACTTGTTTCCAGGCATTGAATTACACACCCACAAGCTCAAGGCCACAGATACTGTGATACAGAATTAGCCACTTTGTTGGCATGGTGACATAGGGCAGCGTATGAAGAGGATTGGTAACACTGGGAAACCACAGGCAGTCATGAAAGAACAAATCCGAATCCCAAGGAAGCAACTGTGACTCGCTTCTCCCTTCAGGAAGAGCCATGCTTACAGTGCTCCAGGCAGATACACTCTAAGTATAAAGAGTTCCCGAGAATGGAGTAATGCAATTTCTAATGTTGAAAACTGAACTGTCAGCTGAAGACAGCAGAAAGACTAAGTGCATGTTCCATACCACTTTCTCCAAGGCTCCACTAAAGAATACTAAAGTAATTAAGAAGTTGTAAACGTTTAACGATGCAGGCCAATCACAGAGGAGCAACAGCAGCAAGAGGCTCGTCCGGCACAGTTCCGGAAGAGGCAGGTGAGGAGCACGGGCTGATGAAGGAGTGGAGGTGGGCAGAGCTGAAAGTGGGCACGACAGCCAACAACAAACACGTTGTCAACCTGCCCAGCAGACCTCTGGAGAGGAAAAGACAGTGGGCAGAATGGCAGCTGGAAGGGCGAAGCGGCACTGAACATAGGGGCATTCAGAGGAAACCTGTCAAAGGAGCCAACCACTTACTGCTTGCACTGCCAACAATAGCAATTGGGCCCGGGGCCGCTGCAGATCAGGGGGCGAAGCAGAGGACATTCAAT